TGAATGTACTCCATTCCTCATCTTGTGTTCATCACTGTTCTCATAGTAATTGCTAACTCTGTTGGCTTATTCGGAAATCTCAATGTGATCATAGCAACGATTCGTGACACTTCGCTGCGGACAAAAGCGGGTAAGTGGAACATTACTGCTCGAAAAAAGAAGTAAGAGGAACAAAAAGCGGGCCGTGCTAGAGCTAGGCACATCTCGGCATGATCACGCCCGATCCTCTCATTCCCCCTCATTTTCACTGTGACCGCAAGCGCTGATTGAAGCGTTTTCGATTGCTTGCCAAATCTGAAAGATTCTTATGCTATTCGTTCTATGCGTTTATCTTAATCTTGTCCATTATCTCCATCTAAAATGGAACTTCGGCGCTGTTTCGCTTGGGAGAGGTATCTTGCACTTTCATTGATTCCTCTGAGCTAATTAACAGGTTACATTTTGGTGAGATCTGCAAACTCTTTTGGAGTAGAGTGGCGAAATGGTATACGTGAGCCGTTTTGGTCTCACAATCAGAACATCACAGATACTCACAAAGTGGCCTAAAGTAGCCTTGCTAAGTACCATTTGGTGCTCCTCTCAAGTCAAACTCCGCCCCAGATATTTAAAGCGCTTCTGTGAGAGACAAGTTATCCACTTATTATTACTTGTTTGTTTATTTATGCATGCTCGGACAAGTGGTGCACAATGACGAAAGAAACTAAACGGATGCACTTGACCGTCCTGTTCGCAATTCTGATCCGCTTGCCCACCTTACTGCGAAGTTGAAAAGAAATTATGTAGTGGAGCGAAGAGCCAACAGGAATTGAGCTAGGCCAGTCTTGCTCATTGATCCAACAACGCGCCGTTTGTTCAGGTTCGTCTGCTTGGTGTCCGAACTCGGAAATCTTCGCGTTTACTGGAAGTGGGTTTTGATCAAATGATTTGGTTTTTCTGATCTTGAGGTCGAAACAATCATTTTTTCAGCAGAATGGCAGTTGATCAAGCAGTATGTTTTCGTATGATCGCTGTCTACTTGTTCTCGTTCATAGCGCAATCGGTCATGTATTTCATGTTATCACTAGATATGCTCATCGCGGTCGTAGCTCCCCTCAAGTAAGTGACTTTTGCTTGAGCTAAAGTTAAACTGTGTGCGGAATGAGTAGGCAATACCATCGTTTTCGCTGCAGACACTGGGCGTGTGAGGGGGCTGGGATTGGGCGGGGCTTCAGCCGGGCGAAACCCAGACGCGCCAAAGCGTCTGCAGCGATAACGGTTATTAGGGCACATCATGCGTTGGGGATTTTTGTGAGTCTGCACTCTTACTCCTTTCCTACGCCTTGTTTATTTCCGCCTTTTTTTAGCTGCGCTGAAGGTAATTTTCCTCTTTCCGAGCATTCTGGGAGTAAACCAATGCTAAGAGTTTCCTATATAAATAATTTAGGCACAAGATGTGGCCGACAAAACCATACATCATTTTGATGTGTCTACCGCCAGCTATTGTAGCTACTTTGACTTTCGCTGCCTCGTATTTCCGTGGAAGCAACCCCAAGGTCACTTGTAGACCGCCAACTGGTAGGATTTCAGTAATATAGATAACTGTCGCGAATACTACTTGGAGGTCACAATCCATGTCTTTTCGGGCTGTGTGGCAAGAGAATTGTAGTTTGCCGTGCCAATGGGTGTCGCGTGCGCTTTGCACCCGCTAATAACGACGAATTTTCAGGTGGTATCGATCCGGATTAGAAAATGAATGGCCAAAAATGGACACAAATGTCTACCACGTCCTTTTACACATAAAATCCATGCTCCAGTCGAAAAGGTAGTGCAACCTGAGAAACGTCGCGTCCATTCCCGCGCGCGACGAAGCGGCGATTTACGATTCTCTTGCCGTCTCCCCTCTTTTCGACATGTTTGGTGAAGGGGGAGGGTCTTTTTGCAGAAGCACAATCCAGTGATTTTAGCTGTGGTTCACCATGTCGTCGTAGCCTATACGGTTATTGTGATGGCCATCAACACAGCAGCAATAGCTATGATCCTCAGTCTAGCTTATTTTGTTAACAAAAAAGGTACGTTCATCGATGAATTGGACAATTGGCACAGCTCATCCAATAAGTGATGCCAGCTTACAACTCGCTACCGTTTGCGTGGCCGCAACGATGTCGCAAAGTCTGAACGCAACCCCAGTCCAAACACATTTCGCAGCGCTTGGCTCCGAAAGCTGATTACTGTGAAGCTTTGGCTCAGCTCATTATCACGGCTCCTTCACTTGACGATCTCTTTCCATATTGATCTAGTTTATCTTTTTTCTTTCAGGGAAGGAGATGAGAAGTTCCCGACATCAGGGAAGTCGCAACGAAGATAGTGATAGCATATCGGTGTCAAACCGTAATAGGGTAGGCGGTACAGCTCTTAACCCTCCCTTCTCACATCTTTACCTTGGCATTTTTAGATGATCCGTGTGCTGACTATAGTTGTTGGCGTTTTTGTTTGCACGTCTTACCTCTGTGTCGTCAGTGTTCATATTGCTGTACAGATGGAGCTAGAGGAGGACTATCACGACTATATCATGACTTTTAATGTGAGTTTCCTTTCCGGCTTCCCAGCAGGGATTGAAGCAGAATATTTGAAGTCACAACTTGCCAGGAACCCTACGATACGCACGTTCCGGCTACAGTTTTGCAGACTCCTCTTGCACTGAATGCTGCGGTATATCCTGAGTTATGAGCAGAATTCTTTACCCCAGATGAGACTCGAACCCGCAAATTCCTGGGCGATTGCGTGAATGGCGACGCGCAAAGGGAGCACACCGGTTGGCCAGTGAGCGTGAAGTGCGGCTTCAATATCCGCCTAGACCTAGAATCTTTTGAGAATTCACCTGCTGGTGAAGGAATCAGCGATCACTATACAGTTGGTATACAGGAATGAGCCCACCCGCGGCATTTTCTAGCACTGGTTGTTTTCCTCCTGAATAGATCACTGAGCGATTACTACTGGTGGGAAATACAGTGAGGGGCGCGCTCATCCTACCCTACTGACATCGCGCGGACTGACTGTGACAATATCAAGTATACCTCCCACAGAATGCATTACTCAGGCTCTCATTACTTTCAGATGGTGCTTGCACTGCTGACATATATCCAGAATTACTATGTGCTATGGTTCCGCTCTCCACGATATCGCCGCGCCTTCTTTCAACAACTTAACTGGTTGCGACGCTGTTTTTGTTTTCACCTTGGAGAACCTACAACTTCGAGCAATCCTACCAACAGTCGAACTGCAAACGCTGCTAAAAACAGTACAACGACGTGTTAGAAGTAATTTACTCAGTGAATTTCTAATCCACCATCTTTGAAGTTCTGCTCCCAGCTGCCAACAACAGCAGTATGTTTCGGGGTTTACGCCGTGGAAGTGAAAAGGGGAAGCTGGCATGCAATCATAATTGGTGGAAATCGGCGGCGCCAAACCTACCCCTCTGGCATGTACCAGCATCCGCACCGAGTAAGACTCTGCGTGGCAGTCATCGCCCAGGAGCGTCACATCGAAGATAGGTGGGATTTATGAAAGGCCGTGCAGCCATTTGGACAGCAGCTTAATCACCCCATTCAATATACTTTGACGTTTGTTCTGTTATACTGCTCATCTAAGTCACTGCCTCCCGAACTGCTTAAAAACGTTTGGATTCTTCAAAGTGTTTGCTCACGTGCATGTCACGCCTCGGAGAAAAATCAAAACCTGTTAGGTCTTTCATTAACCACTTACCATGATCGAGCTTAAAGGCAGCGCCCGCGTTCAATTTGATGAGTTATGGGGCTCAGGTAGTGACAACAATGTAGCAAGTAGTCCATTGGTGAAAAAAAATGCCAAAAAAAATCTTCGGATTTTTCCCTTATTGGCCCCACGCACGAGTGAGGTTGTAAGTGTCAAGGCGAAAAGTAAGACCGCACGAGTTTTCTCACTTGGTGCGACAGGGCCCCACAGCATTGGTTGGGGATTCCCTATGGGGGGGGGTCGTATTTGGCCGCCAAAAGGGGGGGTCGTATTTGGGCTGGGAAAAATTTATTTTTATAGTTGATTTTTCTCGCTTTGCGGACGTTTTGGAGGGGGGGGGTCGTATTTCTGGCTAGGAGTTACGTGGTTCACTTCATGAGTTTTATGAATTTTCTGTGTTATAGGTACTATGTACGCCCGTACGATGTACGTCGCATGCCTACTACATACCCCCTTTTCGCCGAGTATAAACCACAACCACAGTCATGTCAGCCATGTACGAGACGAGAGGAGCGTATGCATGGGGGGGGGGGGGGGTCGTACCAGCCCCTGAAAAAAAAGGGGGGAGGTCGTAAAAGCTCGACCAAAATCCCCATCGAATGCTGTGCCCTGCTTGTTGGATATCAGCTGTTTTCCCTTATCACCTCACTCTCACCACTCGACGTGGAGAGAAGCAGCAATGGAACAACCGCACCATCAGGCAACCATTAGAAATGAAGTTGGGCGTAGTGGTCGCCAGGTGGGCGGGGTGGCCGACTCTTCACGAGCGGGCGCCGCTATTCTCTCGCATTTTTGAGTTGCGAAACTAGTACGTCCACCATCCTCATAGGGTGAGCTACGATATCCAAAGAGGGCGTGGGAACAACAAATGAACGCGGGCGCTGCCTTCAAAGGCAGTTGGCACGATGATTTGGTGCTGTTTCTAAGAATGGTAAACGGTCAAAATCCTACGAAAAAGAGCCTTCGTTCTCATGTGTTGAAAATCAATTTTGGACGAGTTTCCCATAGGCATCTTGCCAATAACCGCTACCGAAGATACGGCTGCATATGTGTACTCATATATCCATGCAGCATCACGGCCGCTTCATACTTCGCTTCATAATTTGCTTAGCAAATGAATCAGAGCGTCAGGAACGGTCGTCCATTTGTGGGCGGGCGGGCGTGGCGGGCGTTTGGGTCGGTATGTTGTGGCTTGATAGGGCCCTTATAAGGGCACCTTCCTTGGAAAAGGCATTATGCAGCGCCTGCTCAGGGTCGCGGAATTCCGTCCTGCCAGGCGTATTAATCCTACTCGTTGGGAGATTTATCGTGCCAACTGCCTTTAATGCTATT